CTACTATAGTATGCAGACAGTCTCTGAAGATCTCCTGATATTTGTCCATAATTACTGACCACCTACTGTAGTATGTAGACAGTCTCTGAACATCTGACATATATCCATAGACTCTGACCATCTGCTATAGTATGTAGACAATCTCTGAACATCTCCCGACATATGTCCATAGTCTCTGACCATCTCTCATTGTTTTTCCTCAGCCTCTGACCATCTCCTTTAGTGTGACCATTTTCTCTGACCATCTTTTGTATTATGTCTTCAGTCTCTAGTAAAACCAAAGAAAGAAAAGCACAAATAAATTGGTATCAATGGTTGATTAAGCAAACCCATAAAAACCCTCATTCTGTATAATGGTGATCATCATTTCCGTCTCTTCACTGATTGCTAGGATCCAGGTGGCCAGGCTGCATAGAGTCATTAGTTGCTAGAACACAGGCTGGTAGGCCACACAGTGTCCTGCATTACCATGGTGTTGGTGGCCCAGCCAGCTTATTCCATAAAAACCAATGACACTGTGTTGCCTGGCCACCCAGATCAGATCTATACTAATCAACAATAGAGCTGTGCTGGGGGAGAGTGATATTCATTTGTACTGTGCAAAAAAGACATTTAGATACAAAAATTATGCCTGTGTACTAGTGACCAGTGAATAGTTGGAAGGGTTGGGACAGAGGAAGTGATTGGGAGCCCTCTAGCTGACACTTCCCATTCCCCAGCCGCTCTCTGGTGGCAACTGTATTCAACTTTAGTAACACTCACAAATTGGGCTTCTATCAGGGGAGGAGCAGAATAGCTGCAAAGCAAAGAACAGCAAAGGGATTTTCTTCACATTTCAATAGTTTAATTAAAGAACTTAAAGTGAGCGCCCTTAGATTAGGTGGGTGTACAGATCTTTCCTTTACCGGTTAGTTAGTTTAATGCTTAGAATGGGGGTGGGAGAAGGTTTAAGCTCAGTTAAGCTTTGAGCGAACTTCCACTTTACTTGATTGTATGGACTTGTATTTAATTTTGAATGCTGCAGAGAACAGCGCCATTTAACAATGTGGTGTTGCTCTTTGCAGCATTCAACTATGAGTTCAGGGTGAAGGGCAAAGCCTAGATTCCCTGGGCTCACAGGAAGTGGGCTAAATGAGACTGGACGTCATTCAACTCAAAAGAAGATTGGCGCTGAATTGGTGAGTCTACAGGTGACAGTGCCGGAAATTGGGTTAGTATAACAGCCAGAAATATCCATTGCCACTGGATTTAGTTTTGATTGCATGGCCAGACTGGAATTGGACTTTTAAGCCTCACAGCTCAGATTTTGTGTCTTCGCTTTTACGCCTTGTGAAAATGGCCTTGTTTCTTTTTTTTTTTCACAGGAGATAATAGTGCTAAGGATATTATTGCTAACGCCGATAAAAAGGACAGGGAGGAGGGGAACATTTTACTTCATTGTTTAACAAGGAGCGGGAAATTACAGTGAAATATTGTAATTTCTTTAAAGAATGATTGTAATTATTTTTTATCTTGCCTGGAGATATCATTATATTATAAGTGTGGTGTGTTTTACATGCCATCAGGTTAGGAATACATCTGTGCTGCAGCTGGTCACGTAGTTTATATTACGCTTTGCTGCTTTCTAGGATATTGTGTGATTGTATTGGTATATTATGCTGTGTGTGTGTGTATATTTATATATATATATATATATATATTTATGTGAATATGTGTATATATATATATATATATTTTTTTTTTTTTATATATATATATATATATATAATATATATATTTTTATTATATATATATATATATATTTTTTTTTTTTTTTTATTATTATTATTATTATATATATATATATATATATATATATATATATATATATATATATTTTTTATATTATATATATATATATATATATATATAAATACTAATAAAAAAAAAAATATATATATATATATATAAAAAAAATATATATATAAATATCATGCACACAGGACATAAAAAAAAATGTCTCTTTTATAGGCGCTTGACGCTTTCTTTTTCAGACTGTAATAGCGACCCTATAATGTTGATTTAATATACCTGGAGAGTGCAAATTCTTGTGCAGCTCTGCATAGAAACCAGTCAGCTTTCAGGTTTTATTTTTCGAAGCCTAATTGAACAAGCTGAAGTTAGAATTGGATTGGCTGCCATGCATAGCTGCACCAGTTTTTGCACTCTCCAGTTTTACTAAATCAACTCCTAACCCTAGGTTTACATCTGTGCGGGTGGTGCCGCTGCGGATCCATGCAGCCGCACCACCTGCACAGAGAAATGCGGACCCGCAGGTGGGTGCTATTAGTTCTAATGGCACTCCGCCCTCACTGGAAAACGCAACCATACTGGGAACCGAGGTTCCTGTGTGGGCTGCGTTTTCCAAAGAAGTGCAGGGACTTCTTTCCCTATGTATCATGGGGCACGGGCTTATAATAAAGCTTACCTTTAACCACTTCCAGTCCGGACACTTTTACCCCCTTCCTGACCAGGGCAATTTTAAGCTATCAGCGCTATCACACTTTGAATGACAATTGCGCGGTCATGCAACACTGTACCCATATGAATTTTTTACCATTTTTTGAGACAGATAAAGCCTTATTTTGGTGGTATTTATTCACCGCTGGGATTTTTATTTTTTTTGCTATGTAAATGAAAAAGTCCAAAAATTTTGAAAAAAAGCGTTTTTCTTATAAAATTTTGCAAATAAATAATCTTTCATCATAAATCTTGGCCAAAATGTATTCCGTTATCTTTTTAGTAAAAAAATAAGCCAAATTAGTTTATAACCAAAAACTATCATTTTTAAACATTTTGTTTACATTTTTATTTTATTTTTTAATATTATTATTTATGGGTTTTTTTTTTTTAACATACTGTCATCCTAGCAGTACAGTGTCACCGTGGTGACACTGTACTACTTGTGGGGGGTGATGAAGATTGTTTTTTACAGTGATTGCATTTAGGATGTAAAAGCAATCATTTCTCTTTCTCTCTGTCTCCTTTCTTGCAGCTATTGATAAATACTGTGTGAGCTATGATTGGTCACAGCTTGTCACATGGTACAAGGCTGTTGTGAATAGCCCTGTACCATGTGACCTCTGTGATCATTCACAGATTTCACACGTAGTAAGCAATGATGTCACAAGTGACATCTTGCTTACTACTTTGCATGTGATCACTGATTGGCATATCAGTGATCACATGATCGGGATCTCGTACAGACGATCGGTGTTTCACAGTGTCCGGAGGACACAGCGAGCACCAGATCGCAGTGCTGCGTGCTCCCTAGCTAGAAATGGCGGCGGCAACCCGCCCCTGGAGTGCCACCGTCCGGCCGTTTAAAAAACAGCAGCAGGCGGATGGCAAGTAGTTAAGTAAAATGAATATCTCCTAAACGTGCACAGGCGGTGATGTCAGCGGCACATGCGTGCTGTTCCTTCAGAGCTGTGCGCCGTGGCTGAGACTCCCGCGTGCATGCGTGGAAAAAAGGTGACAGAGGAGGGAACTCCTGCACACAGTCTGTGATTGACAGCTTCAGCTCTGTTCCTGTGAATAGGCTGATAAAGCTGAGAAACGTATTTTGTTTTCTCTGAAACATTGCATTCTGACTGGCTGTGCATATTCAGCTTTCATGGGAATGTTCGTCTAGATCGTGTACAAAAGAAAAAACTGTTATGCAGATTATGTTACAGCTGTGTTCAAGTAAGAAATCTACTGCTGAATTCCACCCATTCATGAAAACCGTCCTACGCTTACCGGCAATGCCATGGCAACAGAGGTTGCTATACGGACTTCGAGGCTTCGCTGTCACCCGGTTTTAAGAATACTGATCTCTCTTCTGTCTGTAATTTTCTCAAACAAAACAAAACAACATTTTAGTAATTTAGTTTGACAGGAGAGGCTTCGATTTTTCACAGAGGTGTATTTTTATATTTGAGAATATGGTGCGTTTTGGACAAGGCCAACTTGACAAGGACAGTTAAACAAATTATAAATAAATTGTGTCCCAGCATACCCCTGTATACCACCCTTCATTCTAGCATTGGCTTAAAGTGGTTGTAAACCTCAGACATGAAATATAAACAAAGGCTATCCCTCTATAGTGTGCACTTGTCTCAGTCCAGTAAGTGTCATTTTATCTGTCCTGGGGGAGAAAGGTGACTGAGGCCACTGATGACGTCGTTATATGATGACACGCATAGGGCGGAGCTATGAGACATGTGACATAATTGTGCTAGGATACCAGGACCGCGGCCATCTTGTTGGTGATTTGTTTGGATTATATGAGATGCATGTTTATGTTACCATTATATTTATTCAATATGTGAGTTCATATATGCGTTTTTTTTAATAAATGTTTGGGTTTTTACATACTGCTCCATGAGGCTTTTATGCTTGCCTTCTATGTGAGCAATAAGTGCTGTTTGACCACTCCGTATGATGAGGGTCAATGTCCTCTGGTAAGAAGCTCTGTCTTCTCTAGTCCTCCCCTTCTACCACTGTCCCCAAGCCATCTGCCGATAGTACAGAGTTCTAGGAGTCACTCTGCACATGCTCAGTTTAGTGTGTATGGCTAGAACTTTTTTTTTTTTCTTTGGGAGGATGCATGTGATCAGCACAAGACCAATCCGCACTGTCCAGACATAGGGTCAGGGATTATGCAGCCTCATAGGACAGTCAATAAAGAATGAAAACTCCTCCTACAAGCTTTAACCCGTTTCCAGCTGGACACCGATAGAATCCACAAGACTGCTATATATACTGATATATATTTACTAAAATAATCACATTTCCATGTTCCGTGTACTGTGGGAGACTAGATATAGTGAATGCAGGGTCTGGGGAGACCAGATATAGTGAATGCAGGGTCCGAGGAGACCGGATATAGTGAATGCAGGGTCCGGGGAGACCAGATATAGTGAATGCGGGGTCCGGGGAGACCAAATATAGTGAATGCAGGGTCCAGGGAGACCGGATATAGTGAATGCAGGGTCCGGGGAGACCAGATATAGTGAATGCAGGGTCTGGGGAGACCAGATATAGTGAATGCAGGGTCCTGGGAGAGCGGATATAGTGAATACAGGGTCCGGGGAGACCAGATATAGTGAATGCTGGGTCCGGGGAGACCAGATATAGTGAATGCAGGGTCTATGGAGACCAGATATAGTGAATGCAGGGTCCGGGGAGACCAGATATAGTGAATGCAGGGTCCGGGGAGACCAGATATAGTGAATGCTGGGTCCGGGGAGACCAGATATAGTGAATGCAGGGTCTATGGAGACCAGATATAGTGAATGCAGGGTCTGGGGAGACCAGATATAGTGAATGCAGGGTCCGGGGAGACCAGATATAGTGAATGCAGGGCCCTGGGAGAGCGGATATAGTGAATGCTGGGTCCGGGGAGACCAGATATAGTGAATGCAGGGTCTGGGGAGACCAGATATAGTGAATGCAGGGCCCTGGGAGAGCGGATATAGTGAATGCTGGGTCCGGGGAGACCAGATATAGCGAATGCAGGGTCTGGGGAGACCAGATATAGTGAATGCAGGGTCCGGGGAGACCAGATATAGTGAATGCAGGGTCGGGGGAGACCAGATATAGTTAATGCAGGGTCCAGGGAGACCAGATATAGTGAATGCAGAGCCCTGGGAGAGCGGATATAGTGAATGCAGGGTCCTGGGTTTAGTAACACTTTAAAATGAACTTTTTACTCTTAGCCTGAGTGCTAAAACTTAGAGTAAGATTTAAAGAGAAACTTTCACTGGGAATAGTGAGGCGCGATGGAGGGTTTTCAGTACAGAACTTTCTTGGTAAAAATGTTCCTACAAGCTCCCTCCCTAACCAAGTACTTGTTATATAGTCAAAACCCTAGGCATCTGGTAGTCTCCACTGATGTGGAGTAATATAGTTTAGACAGAATGCTTGATGCAGGGAGATCCTTGCACTGCAGCTCTGCAGGTACAGCTTCCCCTCCGGCAAGGAGTACCGTGAGCAGCACAGTAGTCACGTCACTTAATCTGTTGAGGCTGCTCAAATTTTGCCCAGTATATAACCATCTAAGGCACTACTGCCTCTGACTGCTAGTTTCTGATGAACCATTCGAAATATGTTCATTGGATGGCCCTGCCACCACGCTTGATTCAACAGGGAGTGTCTTTACAAAGGCTTCCTTCACCAGCGCACCGATACTCACCTTGGCAGTGCTACCCTGTGGCTCCTTCCTCCACCAAAGGCAGCACTAAAATCCCCAGTGTTGTCAGGTATCTGACGCTACAGGGAGCAGTGATGTCACTCGCAATTGGCTGCTATACCTGAGCTTTATCCCAAAGGAGGAGATCACATTCAGCCCCATACACAGAATCATTAGCAATTGTTGCCGGCTTTGATGGAGGAAGGAACGTCAAGGGAGCACTTGCAAGGTGAGTATTAGTTCATCAGGGGCTCCCCTTTATGAATACATTCTCTTTGTCCTGAATAGGCTAGGTGACAGAGTCTCCTAAACCACAGAAGGTCGAACCCAAAATTTAACCCGGCCCTTAACACTAAATAACTCCTGAACTCCTACTTAACCCTTTTGGGTCAAAAAACTATCGGTGGTGAAAGCTTCCTCTCCTGTGCTGAGATCTAGTGCTAAGAACCACTAATTTGTGGACAAGATCCTGAAAGATGCTGCAGTCCTTCAGCCGACCAGGCTTGCTCGGAGCTTTTGTAGACATTTCCTGGATTCATGCCCTCCGGCACCGCACAGAAAATCATTGGCGGTCGGCTTGCCAATTTATTAGCTGCATCAAAGGTGAACGTAGGAGGAGAAGTTCATTACAAATGCATAAAACAAATTTCCCACTATGAGGCTTTGCTAGCTAGAAAAATGCGAACATAATTTAAATCCGTCTTCTAAAATATTAATAACAGCAGATATCTCAGTGGAATATATTTGAAAATATATGTAGAAGCTAGACCCTGCCATCAAGGTGCCTTTATAGAGTGTAAATTCTATTTTATTATAGGAGTAAAAACATTGGGCTTTATACAGAGATGACTGAAATGGCATGAAAACGCTACCTGCAGGTCTCTTTCTCCCTGAAAGGTAGAAAAACGCATAAGAGTCGCAGAACACTTGTCATGGGCAATCATACGAGCTGGCTAATTCCCCATGTAATCTACAGATTGTCTTCGGTGATCCGTTTCCTATGTAACTTCACATGGCTCCATGATATACATAGCTAGTAGCAGTTTGTCACATTGAACTGATTTCATTTTGAATTGTTGCAAACATTTTACTACTTATCTAAGTGGCTTTTACAGTTTTAATCAGTGTCGGGAACATTTCTTTCATGGACGTGTTAGAGACCAGAATTTCAGTATTTCTCAACCGTTTTTGCTTAGGAACCCTTGCAAAAACTTTCGAGTCTCAGTGAGTCCCTGCTAATATTTCCTATGTCTACAGATCATAGTATATCAGTGTGATGGTCAGTGAGAAGAGTGCTCCTTACATGGTGGTGAGTGGGAAGAATGTTCCTTACATTGGTGGTCAGTGGGAAGAATGTTCCTTACATTGGTGGTCAGTGGGAAGAATGTTCCTTACATTGGTGGTCAGTGGGAAGAATGTTCCTTACATTGGTGGTCAGTGGGAAGAATGCTCCTTACATTGGTGATCAGTGGGAAGAATGCTCCTTACATTGGTGATCAGTGGGAAGATTGTTCCTTACATTGGTGGTCAGTGGGAAGAATGTTCCTTACATTGGTGGTCAGTGGGAAGAATGCTCCTTACATTGGTGGTCAGTGGGAAGAATGTTCCTTACATTGGTGATCAGTGGGAAGATTGTTCCTTACATTGGTGGTCAGTGGAACAATGCCCCTTACATTGGAGATCAGAGGAACAATGCCCCTTACATTGGTGGTCAGTGGAACAATGCCCCTTACATTGGTGGTGAGCGGGAAGAATGTTCCTTACATTGGTGGTCAGTGGAACAATGCCCCTTACATTGGTGGTGAGCGGGAAGAATGCCCCTTATATTGGTGGTGAGTGGGAAGAATGCTCCTTACATTGGTGGTCAGTGGAACAATGCCCCTTACATTGGTGGTGAGTGGGAAGAATGCTCCTTACATTGGTGGTGAGCGGGAAGAATACTCCTTGCATTGGTAGTCAGTGGGAAGAATGCTCTTTGCATTGGTGGTGAGCGGGAAGAATGCTCCTTACATTGGTGATCAGTGGGAAGAATGCTCCTTACATTGGCGGTCAGTGGGAAAGAATGCTCCTTACATTGGTGGTGTGAGCGGGAAGAATGCTCCTTACATTGGTGATCAGAGGGAAGAATGCTCCTTACATTGGCGGTCAGTGGGAAGAATGCTCCTTACATTGGTGATCAGAGGGAAGAATGCTCCTTACATTGGTGATCAGTGGGAAGAATGCTGCTTACATTGGTGGTCAGTGGGAAGAATGCTCCTTACATTGGTGGTCAGTGGGAAGAATGCTCCTTACATTGGTGATCAGTGGGAAGAATGCTGCTTACATTGGTGGTCAGTGGGAGAAGGAGGAGGACACACTGAAGGAGCTCTCCCTGAGAACCAGCATTTTCAAGCCTGGGCCTTGCCTGCTAGCTTGGCCCAGGAACCATGCCTGATCCAGGGGGAGGCCCTGGGAGGGATTCCCCTGATGAGACCGGGCCTAGTGAAGAGGAGGAGGTGGAGGACCTGACTGTGGGTCCCAGCCCTGGTGAGGATGTCGATGTCTTCAGACAGAAGATTGTTGATAGATTTGTGACTATTGGAAGAGCTGAGGAGAAACTCAATGTTTTGAAATCTGAACACAAAACCTTCGAGCCAAATACTGCCAGGCCTGGAGCAAGAACAGATTGGGCATGAAGCCAGCGCTCCAGCACATGGAGGATAAAGTAAAGAAACAATCTTTATTATTAGAAAAGTTGAAAAGCCAGAAGTGGAGCATTTAAAGAAAAATTTGAACATGAGAGGAGATTTGCCAGCCAGACATCAGCGAGCTCTGTGGATCAGCAGCCTCAGGTAATGGATGACCCAGTTCCATCTACATCAGCGTCTCTCCCCCCATGTCAGGCTGTGAAATCACCAGTGGCAACCAGCCAGGGGGTTGAGGGTGAGTATGGAACCCTGAAGTTCATTCAGCACATGGAGTCTCCCCTGAGAGCAGACAAGTTTGCCTTCACTGATGACCCTGCAGAAGTCCCTGAAGATGGACAGAGGAGGTTCAGAGCAGCAAAGCCAAGACTGGTGGAGAGATCCCAGTATACCAAGATGGCTGCTCCCAGCATGTCTGCCCCACCTGCTGTGGTCAGTACTGTGGATGAGGAGCTCTGCAAGCAGCCTGCTGTGGAGGAATCCTCATCAAACCTGGAGGAAAAATCCCTGGCAGAGAGGTCTCCAGACCATCAGGGGAATGTGGATGAACCTGCACCAAGCACCCCACAGATGGAAATTGCTGTTCCTGCTGAGACCAGTAGTCCCTCTACAGGCAAGATGGCTGCCACCTGCAGAGAGACTGTTTCACCTGAGCTCCCAGGTGCTCCAGAGCTGATTGATGCTGGTGGGGGAGGGGAGCAGCACACTGCACCATGTGGAGAGCAAACAGCAAGTATGGATGTCTCACTTGTTGCTGTGTCTGAGAATCCAATCCAGTCCTGGGCTGAGTCTCCTTTCTTGGAAGGAGAGATGATTGATGGAGCTTCTATGGTTGCAGCAGTGAGTGCGGACATTTCTGAGAACTCTATGACTGTTGAGACTGCTAAAGCAATGGATGTGTTGGTGGTGGGTGGAGGTGAAGGGGTTAACATTGCTGACAGAGGTAAAAATGAAATTTCTCCCCCTGCTGAGCAGAAAGAGGATACACCATCCAATCCCGGATCTGTGCAATCGGTGTCTGCTAGAGTTGCACCAGACGCTCCCAGACACACAAATGTTTCTGCTGCTGGGAGGATTGGGGGGAGCTATGCCTCTGTTTTGGGGAGTCGCACCAAGGGGGGTGGGGGGTAGTGTTGGGGAATACTAATGGTCACAATTTTGGGAGGTTTGGTGGTGGGATGGTTGGTGGGGTCAGGAGAAGGAATGTGGTACAGTTGAAGTGGGAGGGGGAAGGGAACCCACCAGTAAGGGGGAGGGTGGCGGAGTTGATTCTGGAGATGGGGTTTAAAGCCTGTGATGTGTTTGCGTTGATCTGCCCAGTAGGCAGCTATGAATATGATTTGTCATTTGTAAAACCTGAAGGCCTGGACCTGTTTTGGGAGAGATATTGGAGGTGCAGGAGCCTTCAGCAGTGGAGAGGTTTGGTGGCAAAGGTGGTTTCCAGACAGCCTTTGATAAAATCGG